ATTCCCCATATTTAGCCGGAAATATCAGTTTTAACTTCATTGCCTTTGCCATGTGTAAAGCTCCTCCCCCTTGTGTTGGTTAGCTCATTGGAACTTGTTTTCAAATGAAATCTCCTATATAATACAGATTGTGAAGTGCTGAGGGGAAAGCAGGAATGGGACCCTCAGACTTGGATGTGGACCCACTTACAGCCCTCTCCTTGCCAGGCCCCTGAGATTCTTCTAAAGACTCTAAGAACAACGTGGACACAGTTTGAGAATATGGTGAGGTGCTGTGTAACTTCACTAGCTTATCAGTTTTGGCTAAATTGAAGGTGGTTCTTCATCCCTAAATCTCTTTAAAATAGAGCAAATATTTTCAAAATGCTAATAACATTTGTCAGTTCCAGGTAGTGGGTCATTCATTGAAATATGCTTGTTCCTTTCTGAATTTTTTTCTCCAAAACAAGAATGTAAAGTATAGTGGGTATGGTGAGAAATAAATGTTTGCACACTGGACCAAATAGAATGCAGAGTCTTAGGTAAAGTTTCTTTTTTTAAGCCACTTAACTGTATATGCTTGCCACGCTGTTGGAGGCCACGGGATCTCAGCATGCTCATGCTTATAGTGGCACTGGGAAAGGGGCAGGGTCTTTAACACAGTCCATGGAATTATGAATGTGTTGTGGCTTGAATATTTTGATAACAGTTAAAATATATACTTTGTTAAGATATGTGCTGTAAAATATATACGTCTGTATAATCTATATCATTTTTATAGAGGTATAATTGGTGTAGAACATAAATTTCTGATATATAGCAATGATTCCATATATTATATATTGCAAAATGATCAACAATGTAAAACCTATTAACTAGACAGTAAGTCTAGTTAACATCCATCACCATACATGGTTATAATTTTTTTTTATCGTGATAAGAGCTTTTAAGGTCTACTCTCACCAACTTCCAAATATACAGTACAATATTATTAACTATAGTTGCTATGCTGTACATTACATATATATACTTCCAGTTGGATTTTGTTGCATAGATGTTTACTTAGAAATATCTGGCTTAGAATATAAGCTCCATTATGGTGTGTATCTGACTTGTTCACTGTTGATTTTCAGTCTTGGGCTCATAGTGGAAACTCAATAACATTTTTTTTTAAATGAGAGAATGAATGTGTTCCCCCTCCTCTGTAAATTCTCATTGAGGATAGAGATGGTGTCTTTGTTTTTCAGTATCTCCAGGGACTAACATGTTCATGATTTTGATGTTTTATTTACTCAACAATTCTTATTGAATTCTATGTGCCAGCCATTGTGCAAATTACCCAGAATGCAGCTGTGATTAAAACTGAGAAGACTCTTCACAGATATTAGTGAGAGGAAATGAATGATAAATGTAATAAACAAGTAAATTGTTTGGGTTTGTGACAATGTTAGAATATACTCTGTCTCTTTACTTCCTGTTTTTGAAGAACCAAGTGTTATATCTTTTCTATAAGAAACTTGGTTTTGATTTTTACTTTATTATAATTTGTAGATGATGCAAAGCCTGATTGGGGAACAATTAATTCACCCCCCTGAAAGAAAACAGGAATATGTTAATCAATGAATGGTAAATCACAAAAAAATATAAGAGATAAGGACAATACAGAGACACAGGTTAAAAGGCTATCCCCCTACAAGGCAGAATTTTCTCCATAGCTATGCTGCCTGCCCTGTCAGTTTGTTACCTTATCCCAACTGCATTCACCTCACATCTGTTCTTTCCAACCTGGAAAGCCTTATATGATGTTTGCAGTTGGAGAACTTTGAGTGATTGACCCTGAACTAGCTGTTAACAAGGTATCCCTACTTACTACTCACAGCAGGAATAATAAATCTGCTTTGTGTGCTGTCTTCTCCCATTTCAAGAAACATACTAATGATTTCAGAGCAAGAAGTAAAGAGAGTTATCTCATGTAAAAATAGCCTAGTAACAAAAAAAAATATGCTTTTGGTAAATAAATACTTTATCTCACTTGATCCTTTCAAGACCCCAGTATGTTGATTAAGATGAAATGTATGGTTAGGATGTCCATGTACCTTCAATTAATCCTCATATTGTCCCAGCATCCCATTTGGCTTAGCATTTGTCCTGGCTTTTTAAGAAGAGAGACTTTAGAGCACCTGCACCCCTATGTTTTTAGCAGCACTGTTTACAATAGCTAAGCTTTGGAAACAACCCAAATGCCAAAAAAATAGATGACTGGATCAAGAAGATGTGGTACATATACACCATGGAATATTACTCAGCATTCAAAAAAGATAAACACATGCAATTTGCAGCAACATGGATGGCGCTGGAAGGGATCATGCTCAGCGAAATAAGCCAGAAAGAAAAAGAAAAATACCGGATGGTCTCACTCATAGCAGGAATCTAGAAAACTTAAATAAGGGACCAGGAAAATGAATAACTATAAGAAAGTGAAAATCAAAATCAACAAAAACTATGAACCAGAGACACTCTATGGGGGGTGTGGGGGGGCGGGGAGGGAGGGATTGGCATCAAAATAAGGGGGTTGCAATTGTATGGGGAATATAAAAATAAAATTTAAATAAAAAAAGAAAAGAGACTTTATTCTTTTAAAGAAGTTTTATGTTTATAGCAAAATTGTGAGGAAGCTCCAGAGATTTCTCATATATCCCCTGCTTCCTCTCATATCCCCTGTCCCATATGTACACAGCCACCCTCACCACAGTTGTACATTTCTAACAGTGCCTAAACCTACATTTTCCATAACTACCCACAGTTCACATTCGGGCTTACTCTTGGAGTTTTACATTCTGTGGGTTTGGACACATGTATAATAAGAATAACAATCATTTTGTGATCCTAAAAATCTTTTGTGCTGTGTCTCGGTCTTGCATTTTTTATTTTGTAATAAAATACTATTTGAATTTTACATTTGAAAACTTTTTTTCATAGAACAATTTAGTAGTTCTTTCAACATAGTAAAATTACTTGTTTAATAAAATTTTCAAAATTTTACTTTCAAAAAAGTTGCAGTTTGAATGATAAAGTACATGGTCTCCATTGAGAAACTGGCCCCCAAAGAGGAAGGCATTCTCCCTCACACGTATAGTCAATCAGGTTTATGGCAGGATTAAAGCTTCCGGTACTTTCTGTACCAAAGACAAAGCCAGATTTCAAAGTTTATCACATTTCTTACCTTGTTCAGAGTATTTATGAAAGTGGAATTGCTTTTATATTTCTAATTCAGACATGAGAAAATTCACTACATAAGTAAATAATGAACCCTGTAAGGAATGGAACAGATCACAAGTCAAAACTTAGGCAAGTGAAGACCTGCCTGGAGAGGATAAAATTACTACAAGGTGGAAGTTTGGATTTAAAGGAGCACAATGCTTTTAAAGAAGATTCCATGAATTGTTAAGTCAGTGAAGAGTAACACCATCACTGACAAATGTTTGATGGTATTTTGAGATTGAAATTAGAGTTTCATTTGCATATTTCTGGGACATGGCACATGTTTATCCCACAGAATGAGTCTAAATTCTGATCAGTTACATGTTAAACTTGCTTATTGTGATAATTAACTCTTTTGTAGTTATCAGCCACATGTAATTTAATACAGTGTTAGCATTCTGAACATTGAAATAATTAACTTTTTATAGCAAACCAAGAGGAAATGATATCAAAGAGAGTTAGGTGTTCATAAAGACAGTTTTTTATATTTATTTTTTCATTTATTTTTAATTACTTTATATATTTTTACATCATTTTTCATTTTTGTACAATGTATGCATTTTCATCTTGGTTACAGTCCCATAAAATTCCTACCACTCATTCACTCATGAACTATCACCATGGTCCCTTGTGCTCTTCCCACCCTTGTTTTGATCCTACTCCATTCTCCCCCCGCCACCCTCCCCATGGTATGTCTCTGATTTATAGTTGCCTGTTGGTTTTGATTTTTACTTTATTATAATTAGTTTTCCCCCCTGATTCTTATTTGGATCCTCTACATTGCTGCTATAAGTGAGACCATCTGGTATTTTTCTTTTTCTTCTGGCTTATTTCACTGAGCATGATCCCTTCCACCTCCATCCATGTTGCTGCAAATGGCATGAGTTTATCTTTTTGGATTGCTGAGTAATATTCCAATGTATCACATCTTCTTGATCCAGTCATCTCTTTTTGGGCATTTGGGTTGTTTCCATAGCTTACCTATTGTAAATAGTGCTGCAATAAATATAGGGATGCAGGTATCCTTTTGAATTAATGTTTCTGTGTCCTTTGGGTAGATCCCTAAGAGGGGAATTGCTGGATCATATGAAAGCTCCATTTTGAGTAGTTTGAGGAACCTCCACACAGCTTTCCATAGTGGTTGGACCAGTTTGCACTCCCACCAGCAGTGTAGGAGAGTTCCTTTTTCTCCACATCCTCACCAACATTTGTTTTTGGTAGTTTTTTTTAATATGTGCCATTCTCACTGGTGTGAGATGGTATCTCATTGTGGTTTTGATTTGCATTTCCCTGATTACAAGTGATGTTGAACATTTTTTCATATGCCTGTTGGCCATTTGCATTTCCTCTTTGGAGAAGTTTCTTTTTAGCTATTCTTCCCATTTTTTGAATGGGTTATTTACTTTGTTTTTGTTGAGTCTTGTCAGCTCTTTATAGATTTTTGTGATCAGTCCCTTATCATTAGTATTGTGCGCAAAAATTTTAAACATAGTAGTTAAATCTTGCTGTAAAAACACATAAATCACATAGGAAAGAGTAGCCATTCTTGCATAAATTGATCCCAGTGGATAGGAAAGATGACCAACACATGTAAAGAAATGGCGAATAATGCAGAATGATGTATGGAATTGATTCTCCAACTCGAGGAAGCTTTAAGATGTGTTGTAGTAGATGCTACCCTGTTGTAAGGTTATTTAATTTAGTTGTTTTATTTGTAAAGGGTGAGCTTTGCTTTTATTTTGCTGATTGATTTTTGGCAGGCCTCTCTATCAGGAGTGTGTGCTGGAAAGCTGACCGACTGCTGGCAGGAACCCAGGACAGCGAGATATTTGAAGTAATTGTGAGAGAACGAGACAAGCCAATGCTGATCCTGCAAGGCCACTGCGAGGGGGAACTTTGGGCTCTGGCCCTGCACCCCAAGAAGCCACTGGCTGTGACAGGCAGTGATGACCGCTCTGTCAGGTGAGGCCCCACTGATTTCCTTGGGGTACAGATTTATTTTGCCCAAATGTACTAGATACCGAAGAGAAAGATAAACCACTGTGCAGAACCACACAATTTCCAAATGAAATGTGAAGGCAGTCAGCTCAGCAGCATTTGGCTTCTTGTCATTTTGTTGTTGCTCTCTTTGACTGCATCTTAAGTGATGAAAATGTTCTTAGAAGTGAAAATACACTGATGCTGTCACGTTGGCCTCCAGTTCTCTTTCAGCTGAAGACATGAGCTCAGCGCACTGTTCTGTGATCAGAGCACGTTCCCACCTTGTGCTTTCAGTTCTCTGCAGGGGTCTGCATGGTGTTTTCACAATTAAGTCACAGAATGTTATTCATTACCATCAGAACTTAAATTCAGATTTGCAAAGTTGTCTTCAGCATATGAGTGAATAATTTTTCTTGTCAATTGTCAGATGGCATTTTGAATATTGCCCACAAAAAAACCCCAGAAAACTAGAAGGGTACTAGTTCCTGAGAAAATAGGCAGTTTTATTAGGGCCATAAGTGTTGTTATTGTGGATCATTTGTTATTCTTTGACATGACAGTGTTGCATAACATGAGTAAAATGAATATGCTTCCATCATACTTGTGACTGTTGACAGAATGAACATATGATTTAAAAGGTTGCAGTGGAGAGTCTTACACTGATTTGAATATTTACAAGTTCATTACTGAGCTTTAAATGTGCTCCGCAACCAGCAGGTCAGAAAGAATGAGTGATGGTGACAGGAAGAGACTGATTCATCATTCAGTTGATTACTGCCTCTTGGTTTTAATAGCTAAGATAGAACACTGTAACCAGACTAAAGGTTACTGCCCTACCTGCCCTTCCCCTCCCTACCCTTAATCTCAATGTTTGTGGATTTAATCAAGATACAACCAGTATAATCATTAATAAACTTTAAATCCAAAAATAAACCCATTTTTTAGTCTCTACCAGGCACTAAAACCTCAATATAAAAATCAGTGAAAACAACTGTATTTGTCTTCTTATGTGACAAAAATGTTTATTTGGCTTATTCTTCTCTTTCCTCACTTCCTCCTCTTCTTCCTTCCTTTCTCTGAGCTTTCCCCAGATAGCTAAAACAAGGCAGCCAAGGTATTGAAACATGAAGAAACTATATTTATCAAATAGAAATGATTTTGAGAAAGTCTATGCCTTTTGTATTTCAACAGCTTTGTTTAGTCTCAGAATTGCAGATCTTTCCAAGGAGACCACACTGCCAGAACTTGTCTTATTCTTTAGCCACTTACTTGACTAAAATTTTAAATGTAATTTTACACTCAATATTGAAATGTAGAGAAGCTGTAAGTCATCATTTCCCCCCCGGGTTCTACTCTCTATTCATGTTTATTTGACATGGAAATCTGGGTCACATTGATTTTTTCCCCCTCATTAATATAACACTTCAATTTTTGAGATATAATTCATCTATGGCATATTAGTTTCAGGTGTACAACATTATGGTTTGATATTTGTGTGTTTTGCAAGATGATCACCATAGGTCTAGTTGACATCTGTTCCCATGTGTATGTCATATATATATTTCTTGGGAAAGATTAGCTTAGAAACTTTTTAAGTAAAGTACAGTCTATTGATAAGTGATGACTTCTTTATGCTAGTAAAGCAAAACTTACATTGCTTGAAATAGTACAAGACTAAAAACAGCATGGGGTTATGAATAATGGACGAGATATTGAAAGAATACCATAAGCTTTAGGCTGAACAGTGCAGGCTGCCTTAGGAATCAGTAAGCTGTTCACTGCAGCTCTGCGTGACAGGGAGTGTGCCTCTGTCCCTCCTGATGGCAAAATGCATTTAAATTAACAGCACTATGTGTGGCTTCATCCTGCCTCTCAATTGCAGAACTCCAGATTTTCAGTCCCCCTTGCAGACATTGTTGACTGTGTCTTAAGAGAAGACAGTACTAACAGACACAACAGCAACCAACATGTAAACCCTTATTTGTATCTTCATATATTTAGTTCATGTTCACTCAGTTTGAGGTGCCTGAATTAGGTGTTTATGGAGCTGCTGAAAAGTGTGTGTTAGCTGCACTTGCTCCTTGACCTTGACTTCCCTAGCAGTAACAGTGCTTATCAGCCAGGAGCACAGGGAACTGCCGGCTCAGATCCAGAGTGCACGGGACATAACTGGTGTTGGTGGTTCTTTTCCATGGAAGACAACAAATGTAATGTGTATTTCAATCTATATGTACTTAACTAATACTCTTACTAGGAGGACACTCATATTTTTTAAAAAACTAACAATAATCACATCTAGCCACACTTCTCATCCCATATTATTAAAAACCCATGGTATATGTAAAGAATAGATTTTAATTTCTAAGAGGAAAGGTAAGATTTTGTATGAAGTTATGCTTAAAATTTCCTTTTTGGTAAATCTTAGAATCTTTGGAAATATTATCTCATTTTCTATTTCTTGCTGCATATCAGCTTGGTGAACGTGATGCCAAGACAGACTAAACATCTTCCCAGATCCCCAGGCAGGTCATGAGAAAGTCTGCTGATGGGAGTTACTGTGGCCCTCCTTACTAATATGTGTGCAGAGCAGCCCTTCCTGCTATGGCTGGTGGATGGATATGAAAGGATGGTTTTTTTTTTTTTTTTTTTTTTTTTTTTTTTTTTTTTTTTTATAGAGGCATGCTTTATTTATTTGTTTGCTGGTTTCTTTGTTTGTTTTGTTTATACATGCACTGGGTACAGTCAGAAGCGCGGGAGGGCGAGAGAATTCACCAGAGCCAGAGCGGGGAGCAGAGCAGGCAGAAGGACCGAAGTACACTGCTGAGGGGAGCAGCGGGCGGCAGGAGAGGTCTGCGCGCCATGTGGGACCCTCATGTGGGACCCTCCTCCGGTGGCCGGGGAGCAGCCGGGGATCGAACCGGCGCCGCAGAGGCCGCGCGCAGCTTCGCAACCCAGCGCTCAACCGCTGCGCCACCGGGGAGGCCCTGAAAGGATGGTTTTGTTTCACTTCTTTCTTTGTTCTTGTGAGTAGGCTGTGGAGCCTGGCTGACCATGCCTTGATCGCCCGCTGTAACATGGAGGAAGCAGTTCGCAGTGTTGCCTTCAGCCCTGATGGATCTCAGTTGGCCCTGGGCATGAAGGATGGCTCTTTCATTGTTCTCCGTGTCAGGCATGTACTGAAATAGTGACATCTTGAAAATAGTTAGCGATGACACTCTTTGTTAAAATTAAGATTCTTTTGGTCATAATGAATGCCAGGACCTTAGGAAAAATGCATTTGCCCTTTCAAATGGGAACACTACAACTTCACAGTACCCTGACTGTAATTCTGAAATCCAAATACTCTGGTAATCTAAGTTCTTTGGTAACTTTTTTGGCAGCATGGCCTGATCCAGTGAGCTGATGTGAGACTGTTTCTAGTATATTAATCTCTTAGTAATAATCAAGCAGTAATAATGTTAGTAATAATCATGATTCACTGCAAAATATTAATGTATCTAAAAAAATTAATGTGTCTAATACAGGGTGCTGCCCCTCCCTAGATCCAATGAACAGTGAGGTTCCCGAGCTCATCTGGCCCCAGGGGTTCTTATGTGTGCTTGTAGTGAGCTAATAAAAGACGAGGAAATAACAAAACATCTCCAACACACCAGATTTTTAGAGGTGAACTTGAGTAACAGATTTCTTCTACCCATGATGAACAATAAAATGGAATGTTTCATACTTACTTGTATCCTATATTATTATTACTGAACAAAAATTATCATCCACCTTTGTAATTCCTCTGAATGCATTGTTTGTTCTTTTGGCTTACACAGTTTGTGATTACAGAAAGGAAACACAGCCATAAATTAGATAACTGCATGTCTTGTAAAGAGAAAGTTCTATATAGCTTTGAAAAATGCAATAAATTCTCACTACCAGTCACATGTAACTTATCACCAAATTGGTGGACGTTTTCTTTCTCTGCTTAATGATGTATACAAAAGTAGCTAATTACCAGATTTTCTTTGTTTTTCATGGATTTTCCAAGTTAAAACCAAAAAATTCTCTACACATAAACTATGACATATAGTAAGCTAAAATATTAATAAATGATAGCAGATATGAAGAGTTATTACTTGGATGCAAATATTTGGCATTCTTTACGCATTCAGTTTGTTGGGAGTTGATGAAGGCATCATTACTTGCTGAGAGGGCCTGCTAGTCAGAATCCAGTCTCTCAGTTATAAGAAAAATAGAAACTTCAGTAAACTTTGAAATGAGGGCAAGAAAGTCACACAAAATCTGATCACAAAGGATACAAAATATTCAAGTCAGTTGATATATGCATTGTTGACCTTTCATTGTAAAAGTTAAGCAATTATATAACTACCTAATGTTTAAAAGTAACTTTCCTCTTATTTTTTTGAATTGCTCTTTTATGACAATGAATATTAGGCTTAGTAACATTGTTTTCTTGTTCTAAAGTATGAAAAAGATGATTTATTCCATGCTAACCTTGACATGTTTACCTTTCTCCATTACATGTTTTTAAATCAATTTTATAAACTCCAATTTCTTTAACAAAAAGTCTTAGGGAACGGTATGCAACTGAACATGAAAGCAAACAGGCATTGAATTAAATTTTTTGTTTTTTGAAAGTCAAAAATACAAAAGTGCTCATTTTTCCTAAGTTGGTTATAAACTTTAAATAATACCATTTTTATATCTTTCCTCAGAAGTTAATCTTCTTGACTCCTGTAGGTTTCCTCTCCCTTTCAAAATATTTTTTTCTCAAACACATATACTTTAAAACATGACTTGGGATTCCTATTTCTAGACTTGTTGCTTATCACTTTCCTTTTTATTCTTCTAGAGATATGACAGAAGTGGTTCATATAAAAGATCGTAAAGAAGTCATTCACGAAATGAAATTTTCTCCAGATGGTTCTTATCTCGCTGTGGGATCCAATGATGGCCCTGTAGATGTTTATGCTGTTGCCCAGCGGTATAAGAAAATTGGAGAATGCAACAAGTCTCTTAGTTTCATTACACACATTGACTGGTCTTTGGATAGTAAATACTTGCAAACTAATGACGGTGCAGGGGAACGACTCTTCTACAAAATGCCATGTAAGTCATGTAGGCCTCAGATGTAGGAGTTCATAATAAAAATTTTAAAAAACAAAATATTGAATACTAAATGTGATAATCTGTAATTTGATGAAAGTAATTTTAACTGTAATGCAAAGCATGATATATGTGTACCTAAATGAGTAATTGTCAGTAGTTGGAGACATTACATTTAGTACAGTGGTCATTTTCTTCTTTTGTCCAGGTTTTGAGCATATACTATTTGCTGCAAAAAAAAAAAAAAAAAAAAATGGATAAAGAGATTAGAACTTCTAGTTTCCTTGATTTATAGACTTTTTTTGAGAGAACAAAAACTAAAACTCTATGAGAAAAAGAAAATAAAGTAAATCACTGTATGCTTTTTATTTAAATGTGGATTATGTTAGTATTTTTTATTATTTTCAGCTGGGAAGCCTTTAACAAGTAAAGAAGAAATTAAAGGGATCCCCTGGGCTTCCTGGACCTGTGTGAAAGGCCCTGAAGTGAGTGGAATTTGGCCAAAATATACCGAAGTCACCGATATCAACTCAGTGGATGCAAATTACAACAGCTCAGTGCTGGTGTCTGGAGATGATTTTGGACTGGTTAAATTATTTAAATTTCCTTGTCTCAAGAAGGGTAAGACCAAGAGAAATGTTTCATTGATTATTTAGTCTAGAATGTATATGCAATATAGTTAAGGCTTATTCCTTGGTGTTTATTCCTGCAGACTATTAATTTTATCTTCATACTCATTTATATGCTAATATTTTAAAGTGGAACATGTTGATGACATTTACTTTTGATTTTCTAAAATATGGGGTTTTGCAAATTTAAATCAGAATTGAACAGAATTATTACTCATCATTTGTCATCCTTAAGTCCCATGTTTTGTGTTTTCAACAAGGTTATTTTTGGTGATGGGAAAACTACAGGGACTACACCTGAAGGGAAAAAAAGAATGTAATAAATAAATAAATTATAAAAACAGACAAGTCTTATTTTTATACTTAGATAAATATTCATGATTTAAATTAAATGTATCAAGATATAATTAAAATTATTTCATACTTCACAGCTAATTGTGCTTTCACATGGGAAAGCAAAACAAATCCTTTAGACATATTTAAAATAAAATCTGATAGTGATCGGTCTGCTGAAAGTGTAGTTTATGGACTCCTTATCATAGCCGCAATTTTTCACTCAGATTTATGTAACTGTGATATTTTTGAGAGAGAAGTTTGATCTACCCTCATATTTCATTGTTTTGCCTACTTTATTGTTGTTAAGTCTTGTCACTCCAATTTTGTGGCATCTTTAGGCTTTGTATGATGTGACTGAATAAACCACATAATGACCTTGCCCTCTTTTTCCTTTGCATGTTTAGGCAAAGCCCATGCACATGCTTGGCTTTGCCCTGAAAATCTGATCTGTGCCCTGAAAATCTGATCTCAGGAAAGTAATCAGTAGGTAGGGACATGCTGCTGCCTGAAAAGGCTTTCACTTGAAGAAGTTTAGATCAAGCAAGGAAAGGGATTGAAAATGTAATTGGAAGGTCACTTTTAGCTAACTGGCAGGTCTGAAGCAGTGACAATTAAGATACAAAATTGAACATAAAATGCATCGTTATAACCACCATCACTTACACTTGACAAAATGTCCATTAGTTTAAAATGCTAGAGACACAAAATTACCTCAGTGTGCCAAATTCAAATTCTTCTCTCTTACCTTAATGCATCTTTTGGGCAATAGGACATGTCTCTTTGGATTGAGTAATGTGCTTATAGAAGATCAGTTAGACAAATAGAAGGTATCTACAGATAAGTTAGACAAACAAAAGGTATCTACAGAATTGGGAAGAAACATCAGAGGAGCTCCAGTGTGAGTACTGGAAATAAAGTTAACTCAATGAGAGTGTTAGCTCCTATGTATCACTAGGCCTTCTAGGTCAGCTTAGTTCTAGAAAACAGCAATGGGAAGGTAGATCTTGGGTTTGTTTATTAGAACAGTGGGGTAAGGGAGGAGGTGGTGGGTAGTGCTGTCACAGTGAGACACTCTTCAACCCTGAGGGTGGCACACGCAGGGACCTGAGGGAATGAGTGTGGAGGGAGGACTGACAGTGACAGTGTGGTGAGAGTAATGAAGTTCACTTCAGCAGTGTGCAAAAGCATCCATGTTTTCACAGTAAATAAAAGCTATTTCATCAATAACGCAAAAACAATTTATATCTAAATAATTAAAATCAAGTGAATATTAATAGTTTAGGACACTACATTTGGTGGAAGGGTTATTTTCTTCTTATGTCTCAGTTTTGAGCATGTTTTCTTTAAATGCAGCTACGAAAAATATTTTTTATTTTTTTGGCTAGAGAGTCTACAGTTTCTGTGGTTTATAGAAGTAAAAAAGTTTTGTTCTGCTTTTTATGACTCAGTTTATACATCTTGCAATTTGCTACAGAGACTTTTAAGCATTATTTGCCTTTTTGTGCTAAAACACTGGCGGGGAAGTTTATGAAAGAATGTTGTTTTTGTTTTGTTTTTAAAGATTTATTATTTTTATACAAGAGCTGGGGTACAGGCCAGAGATGCAGGAGGGTGAGAGGATTCACCAGAGATAGAGTGGGGAGCAGAACAGGCAGATGGACCGAAATACACTGCTGAGGGGAGCAGCGGGCGGGACAGGAGAGCTCTGCCGTGCCATGTGGGATTCTTGCTGGCCTGTAGACTGGGATCGAACCTGCGCTGCAGAGGTGCAGACAGCTTCACAGCGCTGCGCTCAACCCGCTGCCCCACCTGGGAGGCCCTGAAAGAATGTTTTTATGGGAATGAAACCAGTAGTGGAACTCAACTCCCTGCCACCTCAGGGTACCAGTGACATTTGAACTTATAAACAGTCAAATATAAGCAGGGGTGATGTTGATGAGAAATGATAGGTACAACCATTGTAGTTTTCCATTATGTTTGAGGAAAACTTACAGTCAAGTTAATTGACACATCTATAATTGTATGTGTATAGTATTCTGTTACATATTAATTCAACGTAAGTATTCTGCAGTTAATGAAAATGACTGCAAATGGTATTGTTTTTACATAGTCAAATCAGTTTGTTTCTCACTTTGACAGTTTTTTACTCTCAAAATAATTAAGGTCAATACTGATAATTTTCCCTAATGTGGCTCAAACCACATCCTGTTTGACCATCACCCCAAAGACATTATATGAGGTAAAACCCTAGATCTTGATGATTGACATTTGCCATGTTTTAATATTGTGGCACCCAGCCCTAATCCAAATGGTGATTCAAAACTAAGGATCTCCATGTTTAATGGGTACACTACCATCCCATTAGTTCTACACATACACACACACTCTCACACTCACACTCACACTCACTCACTCACTCACACCCCTTTAATAACAAATTCTATGACAAATGCCCTGGGTGTTGAGTGGGATTATTTTTTTTTTTTTTAGTTTGCTAACACTGGTTTTCATTGTTGGTATTTGACCATATAGGGTATAGTTACTGTAGCACACCTATCACCAAAGCACCTCTTGTCCATCACTGTAGTGGGCTTTTAATAGAGCTAGGATGAACTTGATGCTGTGCAGGAACAGAAAGGTCAGTGTGGGCAGAGCATGATGAGTGAGGGGAGGGTTGTATACTGCAAAGCTCAAGAGGGTGGTGGGGGCCTCCCTGGTGGCGCAAGCAGTTGACCGCCGCAATGTAAAGTTGTCCGCACCTCTGCAGCACGGGTTCCATCCTGGCCGGCCAGTGAGAATCCCACATGGCACAGCAGATCTCTCCTGTCTCGCCCGCTGCTTCCCTCAGCAGTGTATTTCAGTCTGCCTGTTCTGTTCCCCGCTCTGTCTCTGGTGAATCTTCTCACCCTCCTGCACATCTGGCCTGTACCCTGGTTCTTGTATAAATAAAGAAATCTTTAAAAAAAAAAAAAAGAGGGTGGTGGGACCATGTCATGAAGTACCTTGTAGCCTCTATTAGAAATTTGGGTTTTATTTTAAGTGCAGTAGGAAACTATTGAGGGTTTAAAATGGAGTCACATGAACAATTTAAGTTATTAAAAGATTACTGTGGTTTTGTGTAAGATGAATTAGGGAAGGAGAGAGTTCAAGAGATTATTGCAAGAGTCCAGGTAAGAGACCATGTAGTTTGGACAATGGTGTTAGTGCAGATATAAAGACTGGCAGTTGAAGGAAGTCATAACACTAATCAATATCTATGCACCCAATGAAGGAGTGCCAAAATATATTAGACAATTACTTTCAAAACTGAAAAAGGACATTCAAGAAAATACATATGTGGTAGGAGACATCAACAGTCCATTTCACCAATGGATAGATCAACAAGACAAAAAATAAAGATACAATGAAGACTGGTGGTTGAGAGACAGAAATAGTATCAAAGTGAATATGAGAGTCTTGCTAATGGATTGTATATGGGAAAGTGAGAAATGGAGCTTGACTCCTAAATTTGGGCCAGAGCAGTAGGATGGATAGTAGCATCATTCACAGAGATTGGAAATAGGGAACTGAAAGGGTCTTGTGTATCTATGTGCTGGATGAAGCATAGGGAGTAGAAGTAGTGTTAGGGGGTTTCCTCTTAACAATGGAAGGCACACTTGTCAGTCTGGTTTTTTCCATAATGTTAAATAAACTTCCAGGTGGACTTGGCATACAGGCTGTCAACATTCTAGGAAGAGTTTGAGGCTAGAGATGAACATTGAGATGAACATACAGTCAAGGGCACATTGACTGTATTGAAAACTATAGAAAGGAACTACAGAGAGATGAGACCTGAAGCCTGAGCCTGCTTCTTGGTTCAGAGAACAAAGGGAGGCCTTACACCAGTGTCCTAAGGAAGCCTTGGAAGAGGTGGATGTACCCTTTATTTCATTGATATTTATTTGTTAAGAACTATTATAGAGGCTAGAGTAATAAAACAAGCACAAATCCCTGTCCTCGTGTTCTACTGAGGGAACATAGTCAATAAACAAACTGGTGACAGGGAAAGCAAAAGTGGGAGTATTTGCATGCTCAGGTGGGCCATGCTAGTTTGCTATTATAAACAGGGAGGCCAGAGAGGGCTTACGGATAGGGTTTTACTGACTAGAAATTTGAAGGTGAAAGAGCCATTCATTCAGCAATCCAGGGAAAGAGCATTCCAGACATAGGAAGCAGCATGTGCAAAGTTTTAGAGGAGGAAGCACTCCTGGAATACTGGAGGAATAGCAAAGAGCCAGTACTAGAGCAGAGTAAGAGGGAGAAGATGACAGGAAAAAGTATCAGAGAGGTAAGGCCTAAATATTAATGACACTAATGATTTTGAAGTTCTAGCTGCAACATCCCAAGGGTAGACTAGTTATCTATTGCTGCATAGCAACTCCACTCCTCGACAAACTTAGCAGTTTAAATCAACAAACGTTATCTCAAATTTGATGGGCAGGGATTCAGGAGCAGCTTGGAGGATGATTTTGGCTAAGGTTTTCTCATGAGATTGCAGCCACCTGAAGGCTAGACTGAGGCCACATGATTCTTGGCAGGAGGCCTCAGTTCCTTCTCAAGGGAGCTGCTCTATAGGCTGCTTAAGTGTCTTTACCACATGGCACATAGATATCCAAGAAAGCAACTAAGGAGGAATCTGCAGTGCCTTATTAACATCCTCTTAAGTGTCACATACCATCACTTTTATCATTTTCTATTTGTTTTGATTTGCAAAGAATGAGCATGTTTTTTTCTTTTTTTCCTATAAATTTCTTGAGATGTAGTTGACAAATAGCATTGTATAAATTTAAGGTATGTAACATGATGATTTAATGTGCATATATATTGTGAAATGATTACTTTTTACTTAACACAACCATCACATCACTTAACTGTCTTTGTGTGCATGTGATGTGAGAACATTTAATATCTACACTCAGAAAATTTCAAGTATGCATTATTCACTGTGGTCACCAATAAGACTCCTAGGTCCTACTCATTTTATAACTTAAATTATACTCTTAACAACTTCTCCTCCTATCCCCTCACCCCCAAGCCCTGATAACCACAAAGCTACTCTCTCTTTCCATGAGATTATTTTTTTAAGAATTGTGGGCATATTCTTAAATCACTATAGACAGGTTAAATGATGAGAATGCAAAGGGGTAGTCCAATAAAATTTAGAAATATAGGAAGGATATATTTTGTTTACCAATTGCTAAGTTATCAGCTAACATTGTGAAGTAACCTTAGTTGAAATTTGTTGACTTTATTGAATTACTTCAATTGATGTAGGCAATTCTTCATACAAGCTTGCTTTTGAAACCTAAGGCCCCTAATCTTTTTTGGAGGCCTTGTTTTGATAGGACCTCACCTGGTCAGACTATGCTCTCAGAAAAAGACACGTGGCAGTTATATTCACCTTCATAAAAATTTAAATCATTGGGCCTCCCCTGGTGGCGCAGCAGTTGAGCGCTGGGCTGCGAAGCTGCCCGCAGCCTCTGCAGCGCTAGTTCGATCCCCAGCCACCGGCGAGGGTCTCACATGGTGCGCAGACCTCTCCTGCTGCGCTCGCTGCTCCCCTCAGCAGTGTATTTCGTCAGTCTGCCTGTTCTGCTCCCCGCTCTGGCTCTGGTGAATTCTCTCACCCTCCTGCGCTCTGACTGTACCCAGTGCTTGTATAAATAAATAAATAAATCTTAAAAAAAAATTTAAATCATTACCTCTCCCTCGGGTATTTAAATTTTAAATGTGATATTTGAATAGCTATTTCCCCATTAAAGAGATTTCATTTAGAAAAAAACAAGAAGGGGTGCTTGTTGTCCCCTGAAATTTCCATAAGCTTTGTAGTGTTGGCCCTCCACATGTGATGGCCACTACTTGTTTCCGTGCATGTCTTATGCTGCTGTGACTCCACCATACTCCATTCCAGTGGAGACTTTACTGCAGTTGTTGTACCACAAATGCAAATTCAGATAACTTTTCTATTTCATTCACTACCAGGACATGGGGGAACAGCCAGTTAAGAGGGAAATAATACATTTTCCTAATTCCACATCTATGAGACTATGAACAGCAGTTCTTTCCCCACAGAATTTTGTTTCCCTATTGTACAAGACTGCCTATTTCATCCTGTATTTAAGAAAGTGTAAGATACTCATTCTTTAACATTTCTTTTCAGAATTAGAGTAGCAGTGGGCATTACTTGGAAGAGGTTCAGATGTGTCTTTACCCACAATTATAAATTTTAAGACCCATTTTTAGGTTAATCCATAGAGGAGTATATGAGAGATATTTTGGAATATTTGCTTCTTTGTTATGATAAAATTAGTTTCTAATATGTTTAAAGACTTTACTATTTTATCTATTCTATTTTTATGCATCACTAATCTTAAAAATTATCGTTTCAGGGGCCAAATTTCGGAAGTATGTGGGTCATTCTGCACATGTCACAAATGTCCGCTGGTCCCACGACTTCCAGTGGGTATTGAGCACAGGAGGAGCTGACCACTCAGTTTTCCAGTGGAGATTTATTCCAGAAGGTGTCAGCAATGGTCTGCTGGAAACTGCACCACATGGTACAACCAGTAATAATTTTTCACCATCTGTTTATTTTTCAATAAAATTCTCAAAGAACATTCTAATGTATTTTCTGGAGGTAAAGAGTTAAAGCAATTTTTAACAATTTATTCCTATAATAAACTTTAAAATAAAACAGAAACAACTTGAGATAAATATGAGTCAGTTGGATAATTCTGTTCCAAGGAGTTTGTTTATGCAAAATGCACGTTGAAGATCTAATTACATGAAAAATCAACCTTAGGACAGTTCTAAATGGTGGTTTGCTTGGGCAGGCTGCAGGGTGACAGGGTAACCTTTAGAGTAGGAGTTATCTCCAGAATGGGGTTCAAACAATGGTCCACAGTTGGGATCAATGTGTTCCAGTTCAGTGGGCTTTATTTACAGTGATATTGGCAGGAAAGATCAGACGATAAAGATGAAACAGTACATGCGGAAATGCTTTTATTGGGAAGGGCTCTGTAGTGATTTTGACTATGGCAATTGCTGGCCCTTGGTATGCACATTAAAAAGTTACAGAAGATCTTTATCAAACTAATGTAAGTGGTTGGATTTGCTTCAGCCTGCTCTTTGATAAAATCTTCCCTCTTTTTTCTTCTTTTTAAAGCAAGATTGAAAACTTGCTAGTTAAATAGACATTTGGAAATTAGTTTAATCTGGTGGGGAGAAGGAAATTACCCTAGTTCTGAAGAGGATTTGGGGTGTGTTGAATTCAACAAAAAGATAAAAGGAAAAAAGACCGTGTTTTAAGACTCTACATCAAATGCCAGAGTAGAAGAAAGAAAATATTTAAAATGTTTAACTATTAGAGTCTCAGAATTTTTTTTTTTTTTGTGTATCTCACATGTGTTTCTACAGAAGGTGGCACTGATTCCTACAGTGAAGAATCTGATTCAGATTTATCTGATGTACCAGAGCTGGACTCTGATATTGAGCAAGAAACTCAAATCAATTATGATCGCCAGGTCAGTAAGCAGCAGGCAAGATAAATGCCTCATTACCTAGGATTGTAATCTCACTGGATTTTTGGTCATTGCTCTTAAAATGTCTGGTACTTAGGCAGAAAAGTATCCAGACAAGAATTAGGAAAATTCTTTACTCCTTATCTAAAATAATTTTAAACACATATTAAAATTTTACCCCATCTTGTCATTTAAGTGGAAGGTAGTAGAAAACTTTCAAAACTAAAGTTGTGACAGATGGGGTTTCCTGTGTCCCCAGAATCTAAAATTTCAAAATATTTTTTGCGGGAAAAATGTGCAGGTAAGCGACACTATTTTTCATTTTCTTAACAGATCATTAAAGCTTGTGCTTTTTTTACAGGTGAGCTGGTGTCCTAGTTTCTCTCTTAGGGACAACATTATCCATTTTTTTTTTTAAGATTTATTATTTTTATTTATGTATGCATACAAGAATTGGGGTATAGACCAGAGGTGTGGGGGGTGAGAGAATTCACCAGAGACAGAGTGTGGGGGTGGGCAAAACAGGCGGATCTACTGAAATACACTGCTGAGGGGAGCAGTAGGGAGGTCTGCTGTGCCTTGTGCGTTAGTTTCCTGGCTGGGGATGGCGATAGCTTGATAGCACTGAGACTTTAACCCCTGTGCCACCAGGGAGACTGCCATTATCCATTTAATTAAAGTAAAAACCCAAATCTATTGGGTGTTGTCTTTCTAGCCAGAAGTCATCTATATAAGAAAAGTTGGGCAATTGCATCACAATTGGGCCCTATTTTTTTTGAAAGTGCACATTTTAGCATTAAACAGTGAGTAATAAAGAGAGCAATTCTTCAGAGGTATCCAGACGTGTAGTGATAATTATAAGGGTTCTTTTTTCTTGTCATTTAACAAAGGTAAGTGAAGCAGATCCTATCGATGAACATGGGGTGATTAAGTGAGATTTCAGACACAGCAGCTTTCAGCGCTATCTGTGAAGACTTACACAGAGCCCTAGCACAGCTGCTGTGTATTGAATTGGTCTGTGGGGCCAGATCCTGTGCTTTACCTACACCAAATCCAGTCCCACAATAACCCTGAGGGCTCACTAATTTGCCCACACCCACACCATCTGTAGTATTAGAGTAAAATTGTAAGTCTGGACTGCTCTCCAAAGTGCACATTTCATGTACTACTTGGCTTTGCCTCTTATGTAAACACTAAATTTACAGCTTTTCACATGATGGTGTTAGGGGAAAAGGCTGTCCTAAAGCTAATTCCATACAGGCTTTGTGGACTCCACCCCCCACTCCAGACCAAAGCCAAAAGACACTGGGAACTCCAAATCCCATCACCACCAAAGGGAAGGTGGCTGGGACCTGAGGGTGGGGTTAAGCAGCCAGGTTTGGTAAAACCAGACACCTGGGCTTTGGAGAAGATCCCCCATTTTGGCTCTCCGCCAGCTCGCAGCATTCGGCCAGCTCTGAGAGTGCCTTTGGGTTTCCAGGTCAGCGGATTGGGTAGGACGCATTAAAGACTTTATTTCCCTATTTTCTCCCTGTTGTACATTTCCTTAATTCCCTTTACTTTTAAATAAACCTTTTATTAACCTTTTGTGTGTGCCTTTAGTGGAATATTAATAAGTCCCTTTTAAGCGCACGGGTGAGGACCCACAGCCAGGCAACCTGTTTTATATCGGGGCTGCTCCGTAACAATGGCATTTCTTTTCAGTTTGTAGTCATCACTCATTGCTTCAATGTTGTAAAATTAGATTAGTTACAGAGATAGCCCATGTAATGATCTGGGTCTACTTCATGACTATGTCAGCTTGTGTATTGATACAATGTATTAGGCAATAAAACTTCTAAAGAAGAACTTGAAAATAATCATTAATGTGGAAATATCACACAAACACTATGTAATATTATAGCTAAATATCAAAGAGAAATTGAATATAAGAAAAATGAACATAAAATTTAGGGGGGAAAGATTAAGTTTCCTTTAGCTGGGAAGTTTTTATTTAATGAAATGATGCTAGTAAAAGAATGAAAAGACTTGATTACACTGAAACCCATGCCAAAGATTTATATATTTTGCCACATATTTTACTTTCCAAAGTTCTTGCCTATATGATTTTATATACATTTGCATTATGCCAGAATTATTCCTCGGTAGAGATTTTTATTCTGTTCTAAAGATGGCAATTTGAGGCCTACAGAGTTTATGATACTTGTTCAAATAAGCAGTAGAAATGCCAAGACTGGAAGCTAGCACTCTAAAGTAGTTGAGCTGATGAAAACATCATGAATTCAACTAAATAAGTGTCTCTAGATTTTAAAAGCTTACTTCATTGCATCGGTAGTTGACAAAATTATAATGAAATACTGCATGTCTTCCTTTTAAAAAAGATTTTTTCGTCAAATCCTAAACAGGGTCTTTATTATTATATTTTATGATTTTTTTCATTACTATAGTTTGACTAAATGTTGCGAACCAGCCGCAACAGTCTGGGTGTCAGGGGTTCCTGAAGGATGGGAAAGCGTCGGCGCAATTGTAGAGAAATGATTAGGGAAAGGGAAAGAGGAATGAGGAGACCGGACACTTGATCAGAGCGCAGGCATCGTTCTGCTGAGGGTCTCAGCAGCCCTTTATTTATACATTTCAAGCAAACCGGGAGAGTGCATAAGCATATGCATTAGGGCAGGAAGATAACAATCACATCTTTCTCAGGAACAGCCAAAGGTTTATTTGCCCTCCTGCAGAGGTTGTGACATTTATTATTTTTTTATTTAAAGGAGGTACATTTGCTGAACAAAAGTGTTCTTAGAATAGTCATTTACCTTAAACAATCAGTCATTTTATTACTAGCAAAAGGCTTATATGACTGCAACTAACATTTTTATGTTTGCTATAGGGAAGGATTAACTAAGGGCTAGGGGAAACAAAGGGCAGGAAGTTACCTGGGGAAGGGAGACAAAGAGATTTTCTCTAACTCATCTATAAAGTTTAGACTAACATAAAACTAATTATATAGAAATCATCATCTATAGTATATTGTTTTAATATTGATTGGATATTAAGGAACCAAGGGCCTGGAGGGCGTTGATGCCAGGCAAGCCAAGCCGCACTGACTCTTCCCTAGCCCCCAGCTTTCAATTGAGGTAGGAAGTCTCCTAATCTAAACAAAGAGTTTTCTACCTGTTACTCCTCTACTTTATCTAGTCAGCCTAGTTTCCACATTTAACTTTAAGATCAAGGGACAATTTCCTTATCCATAAGATTGTTGGTTGTTGTTTTAAGGAACTACAAATATTTCATCAGGGGCAGGGGCGGAGATGGTTATAGCCTTTGATTCTCAAAAATGGTCGGTATGTGACATATCAGTAGTTGTAACATTGACCATTACCGAGTGCATTATTTGTGCTGCCGTGGTTACTAGCTCAACCAGTCACAAAATTGCTGTTGACTTATTCTTGAAGGTATACTCTAACAGCTACCATACCAATTGTCACATCCAGGGAAATTAGCCCTAAACAAACAGGAAGAATTTAGCAGGAGTCAGCTATGGTCTCCTGGCTTATCAGGAATTTTCTTACACTTAGAGCATGGCTCACCTCTGCCACCTAACTGCTATCTTTAACCTTAAGGTAAAAGTATTTCCTTCTCCAATTAGCCCTTGTCTCAAAAGTCACATCCCCATATTAAAGACTTGGCCGAGGGATGTTTACAGCCTTTTGTTCCCAGAAGTTTTTTCACTTGTTAATGTAAGGCCAAATGTTGAATTGCTGCCTTTTGGCAGAGAACTACTAATTTTATAAAAAATGTAGTATTTGTATCAAGCAGTGCCATTTGTCATCAAATTGGTTATTCAGTGATTGATTAGTATTTGCAGTTTTACTTTTAAATATGTATTTTAGCAATGGTAGAACTAGCCATAAACAAATGAGGAGAATCTTGTAGTCAGCTAACGAGATTCCTGATTTTTCAGAAATCTGCCCCATGCCCGGACTTTTGTCAGATGACATGAGTAGCATGGCTTCCCATAACTAAATAAAAACTTTATGCAGATGAGAAATTATTAATGGATAGCATTTATTTTTCAATATGTTACATTGTTATCTCTTGGTACTAGGGCATAAATACATCATAGACAAAAGATTGCTTTTTACATACAGTTAATTGTAGATGTTCTCACAGCAGCACATTATCGGGGCCAAGTTATATCAAAAGCTTTGCTTGATAGAGTCTAATCTGTCAAGATGCATGAGACCACCAGGAAAAATTTCAGAGTGATCACTGTGATTCCTGAGGCCCACATTTCTTGCCTTAAAAGAAATAATAAATTATTTAGATTATATTTTATTGGTAACTTTAATAATTTCCTTTCTTTATAGAAAATTAATGTTTTTTAGATATAAGTTCTTAAGGCACATAGAAGCAGATTTTTAAAAAATATTTTAAATATCAATGATTTAGAAGATGTTTTATGTCAGTTTTCTTCACTGGAAGGAAGTAAAGTATAATTTCATGTCTGATGTTCTCAATTTTGCTTATCTTTTCTGAAATTCTACTCTTAGTTTTGTTTTTCTCTTCTATTATTTCCAAGTCTTAATTCATTTATTTCTGTTCTAATCTCTCTTCTGCTAACTTTGGACTTAATTTGTTCTTTGCACAGTTCCTTAGGGTATAATTTTAGTTTTTTACTTGAGATCTTTCTTTATTTTCTTAATGTATATGTTTATAGCTACAAACTTTCTTTCCTCTTAGGACTGCTTTTGCTGCATCCCTTAAGTTTGGGTATTTTATGTTTCCATTTTCATATGTCTCAAGATACTTTTATCTTCCTCTTGACTTCTTCCTTATTGTTTAATTTCAATATATTTGTGAATTTTCCAACTTTCCTCCAGTTTTTACTAGTTTCATACCATAGTGATTGGAGGAGATACTTGATACAACTTTATCTTTTTGTGTTTGTTGACACATGCTTTGTGACCTAATATAATGTCTGTGCTGGAAAAGTTCTGTATGTACTTGAGAAGAAAGTGTGTCTTGCTGCTGTTGGATCAGATGTTCTCTATGTCTTTTAGGTCATTTTATCTATAGTGCTGTTAAATTTGCTCTTTCTTATTGATTCTCTGTCTGAATGATATATTTGTTGCTGGGTATGGGCTTTTACAAAAAACGCCAACTATTTCTCCTTTTAGTTTTGTTAGTATGTGCTTTATATATTTAGATTCTCTAATGTTGGGTACATAATGATTTATGTTTATTAGATCCTTTTGATGAGTTGATCACTTTTGTATTATATATGACCTTACTTGTTCTCTGGCAACTATTTCTTGGCTTATGTTCTCAAAAACTTGATTTCCTGCCACTAAAGCTTTTTTGAGGATACCAAGATTTTAATACTTGTGAAACTGAAGAGGAGTCTCAATTAAATGTTTCTGTTATGCTTTAAGGTTTACAAAGAAGATCTACCTCAGCTAAAGCAACAAAGTAAAGAGAAAAACCATGCAGTGCCCTTCCTCAAACGAGAAAAGGCTCCTGAGGACAGCTTGAAACTCCAGTTTATCCATGGGTGGGTGGCCTGTCACCAGTTTTATCAGCAGGCTAAGAATGGTCTCCTCATTATTGCTTCATGTCAGGCTGGCTCCTCACCAATTAGTACTTCCCTGTAGTTAATACTTTAACGATAATTCTCTGTGTAGTTTTCTCAGTCAGCGTTCTTTGGCTAGCCCATTGTATTTATCTATATTTCCATAGTTAATGTACTTCCATGATGCAAATGTTTCTTCAACTCATTGCTGTCTTCATCTTCTTATCATCTTTATTTATACACAGAAGTCCTACTCTTTTGCTGATTCTACATAGAACATTGTTTTCTTCAAAAATTTTTGTTCAGATATGCACAAAATAATTTTGAATTTTGAAAATTAAAATTGACATCTAAACTTAAGTTTAAAAGGTTGTGAAGACTATAATGTCTGTTGTTTTATAAATATGTCATTCACTAAATGGATGCAATGAAATGGAAACTAAATTCCATAGATACTTGATTCCTACCATCATCAATTAAAAAAAAAAAAAAACTACATGAACAAACACTGAAACAGTAGGAAATTTGACATTATTTGTATTCCCCCCTGAAGTCTTATTTCCATTTTATTGTTATATATCTTCTGTAATAGTTTAACTATTAAATTCTTCCACAGAATTTTACCCTACATAATATTTTTTTATGCTTGAAAGTCTTTTACTTATCACTCAAATATACATTCTACGAGGAAAAACAGTATAAGTTCAATTTCAGTTTAAGTCCCTGTGGCCATAAGACCAGTTTGTTATCCACTAGTAATGTGACTAGTAATGTGACACTTGTGACATGACTAGTCAGAATTGAAATGTGCTATATATGCACTGAATTCTGAAGACTTAGCATAAACAATGTTTTATATTATACATTATAATTCTATATAACATATATTATGTTTAAAAGAATGTTATTTAATATATTATACAATGTTTTATATTGATTACATGTGGATATAATGATATTCTAGACATATTGTGTTAAATGTCCTTAAAATAAATTTCATCTTTTTTTTAAACTTCTCTTAACATGACAATTAAAAAATTTTAAATTACCTGTGTAACTCACACGATATTTTTGTTGAATAGTTCCACTCTGTGTTAACTTTCTTCTCTAGATTGAATTATATTATTAGTTGTACATAGCTGACCAAGTTAACATAAATATGCTATATATTCTGAAAAGCAGTTATTAAACATAAAAAAATATTTCAGTGAGACAGAATGCTTTCAATGAGTTCACATTGCTAGAATGTGACAGAGTGGTATATTTCCATTTTTCATTTTTTGATAGATGTAAGCACTGAGAAAGATTAGTCACAAAAACAAATAGGTGAGAATGGAAGCAGTTTTACAGCAATAATAACTCTATTTTTTAAATTTGGCTTGAGTTAGAGGTCAAAGAGGTATATATATGTATATATAATATATACATATATATGTATGTATGTATGTATGTATATATATATACATATATATGTATGTATGTGTATCTTAATTTGGAAAGAGCACATACTGAGAATCTGGAAACAGATTTCATTGTTATTACCAGTGTCTATTTCCCTCTTGGAAAGTCATCACATGCCCGTAAAGGTTCTCATACTGCCATTGAAGATCACTATCATAGACAGCTGCAGAGACACCTGTGGGTCTACTTGTGCATCATGTCAACATATTGGCTTTACCTGCTGACAACTCCTGCTCTCTTCATTCACTATTCATTCAACTACTATGTGTTTTTTGGACTTGTGCTTCAGTTATAGAGGCTATGACTGTAGAAACAACTTGTTCTACACACAAGCGGGAGAAGTTGTCTACCACATTGCTGCAGTTTCTGTTGTGTATAACAGGCAGCAACACTCCCAGAGGCTGTACCTGGGTCACGATGATGACATTATCAGCCTGACTATCCATCCAGTGAAGGACTACGTGGCCACTGGGCAGGTATATATTCCTCCTCTAAGATGGGAGTCTAGCCAAAAAAAGAGAAGATTTAACATTGAGGCTATATATTAGAAATTCAGGAAATAACTTGGTAGAAATAAACATGAGTCAGGAAACTGAAGATGCAGTAAATGCTGGATCATTTGATGATGATGAGAAAATCACCAATATATTCTAGCACTGTTGGGAAACAGCTCTGAGAGAGCTTCATGCTAAATGGTGAAATCTATGAATAGGATTAGCTAGAACTAAAATTATATAAGTTCCATGAATGCACAATTTTAATATATTTTCCTTATTGCTATAGGTCCATGACTTAGTATATCCTAGGCACTCAGTGTTTATTGAATGAACCATCCTTTAATAATATAACATCTCATGTGTAGTTATTTTTGTAAAGCTTAAAGCTATATGAGTTTGGGCTAATTTATATTTTAATCTTTGAAGAACACTTTTATCTGAATCATTTTGGAATGCCTAAACTTTGTATTGAGTTTATGATTGAAATACCACTCAAAACACACATCTCTATTCAGATCTTTTGTGTGGTGAAAGAAAGAAATAAAGTTAACTTAGTAAACAAAAATCTATTAAACGCAGATTTATTATTGTGCTGGAAAGCAGTAACCCTGTCGATAGTATTTTCAGTTTTGCACTTATTTCTTCCAATGTGTAGATTAAAATTTTATTCACTTTCATCATGACTTTTTAACTTCAAGATAATACTTAGCATCTAAGTGGCAAATTCCAAAAAAACAATTGATATGGGGATTATGGCTTAACTGAGGTAAGTATTTCCAAAGCATGACATACAGGTGGTAGAAGTTTTGAACAGGGCTCATAGCATCCACAATCACCATCACCATGGATGAAACTGAAGGATGAAGTAAGTCAATCCCCAGATGTGCATTTTGGGGAAAGCATCCATAGCTTTTATTTGTAAAAGAATTAGAGTTCTCCCAAAGAAAAGAACCATTAATTGACACACTGATTTGCTTCCCCTCTAAGCACAAATTAGACCATCTATTTTGCATTAACTGACACAAAGTTGTACAAGTAATTATCACTGCTTTGCCTCTTCACTTGTCACCCTCCCATTTTTTGTCTTTCTTAGAAACAGATGATGCCTGGTTCATGAGTATTTAATAACCTTTTGAGAAAAGAAAAAAAGATTCATTCTTGATATAAACTCCCTAGGAAATGCCATACTCTATATTGTAATGGATGGGAGGCTCACCAGTATGCCAATAGCCACTCCAGGGGAAATTGTCCACACACCAGTGTAGGAGTTGGCCAGATTCTACCATTGTACACTTGGTTTATGTCACTTTTTTCCTGTTTAGAGTCTTCATACCCACCAGGTTTTCTCCCATATGTTTTATAAGTAAGGAAAACCATGTTATTATTGTTTCCCTTTATAGAAATAAGTGTGATAGAAATTTATATCCTCTACAGGAGAGTCCACCTTAATGGCAGAGTGAAGCCATGTAATTTTCATTCCCTAGGGGAGAAATAGAGCCAAGCCTTTTGGGGGTGGGTAAAATAATTGTTATGGGTAAAAGAACTCATGACAACATATATGTGATTTCCTTGACCAAGAAGTGGAATCTTATGTGGAGTTGAGAAGGTAGGGAAGGCAAAGACTGAATTAACAGGCAAAAACAAAACAGCTGAGTTTGAGTTTTAAAAGTCCCTGAACTGGGAGCAGTATACAAGGCTAGGCTCTGCCACCACCCAACCTGATGCTAGGATAAGTATCTTAGACTCCTTGCCCCTCAGTTTCTTATTTAGAAAATAATAAACTTGGAACATCTGATTTCTAAGGATTTTGGTACTTTCCAAATGTGTTTTGAATTCTGAGCAGCATTTGACTCTAAAGAACAAATTCATTTTCATTTGAAGTTGTTAATAATACTCATCCTGTTATTTAAGGTTGGAAGAGATGCTGCCATTCATGTGTGGGACACACAAACTCTAAAATGTCTGTCATTGTTGAAAGGACAGCATCAGAGAGGAGTCTGTGCACTTGATTTTTCAGGTAAGCCCATTTTCCCTGGAGTCATTGACATGGTTCTACATTTACTTCAAGGGTTTTTTGTTGTTTTTTTTTTTTAAGATTGATCTGTAGTTGATTTCTGTTTATGAGAGAAACTTTTTTTATATCAGCTACCTTACACTGGAAATTAGATATGGGAATGCCTTATCCCCTCAGAAAAAAAGTGACCTTTAAATTATACCTCCTTTTCTTGTCTTCCTTATTTCCTCTCTCCCAAGTCATTACCCTGAGCTCATACTGTGTTCTGCATTTGCTTGAGCATTTGAAACCCAGAGCAACTGTTGCTGCTGAAAGACTTAGTTGCAAATATCTGGCAGTGACTCAGAACATCGATTTCATCACTCCAAATAAGTGGGAGTACAGCACTTGCAATTTATAACATAAAAAAACCAGAAGGAGGGCTGCAAATTCTCTGCAAAGAGCCCCTTTACAACACTGGTATTTTGGAAATAAATTTTATATTGACAGAATAAAACTGGCCTTTCCACCTCCTTAATTTAAAACTTGAACTCTGTTCCATAAAAATACTAACTGATGAGTGTCATTTTCATTAGAATAAATCCATTTCTTGAAACTAGGATTAGATATTCAGAATTTATCACAAGAGGTATTTTTACCTAGAAAATTTTAATAATTCCAGTAGTAGAAATTACATCAGTGAAAAAATTTCAAACTTTCTACAAAACCCTGATTCTGTTATTCCCTTTCTCTAAATTCCATCCAAATGATTAATATGTGCACCATATGTAATATTAGTCATTAAGTTCCATGGCTCTACAACCCAACTGACTCTCAAACATCACACCTTCTTGACTCTCCCTGTTCAAGTCATCACTTCTCGTCTCCACCATGTTTGTAATGTGCTCTCTGATTCCATCCTAACTTTCTCCAGTCCACTTAGGAGTCTTTTGGAAGTACAGTTGCATGACTACCACTTGGTCTCCCATTGGTAGACTGACTTAGGGCTGGTCCCTTGCTTGGATGTTCATGGCCTTCCAAGATCTGGCTTCAGCCTTTCTTTGCAGCATTCACACCCACTAACCCAGTCACGCTCCTTTACATCAACTTAGCTGTAAAACCTAGACACGCTTCTGTCTGTTTTGTTTTCCTTTGCTCATGCTGTTCTCATATCTCTTCAAGACCTACTATCCTTTAAGACAAACTGAAAGTTTTCTCTTTCATCCTTCCAGGGAGAAATGCCCTGTCCCTTCTGCATCCTTTAGCCATTGTTGTCATTGTTTGCTGTCAGAGTTCATGTGGTGTAGTAGTTTGTCATGGGAACATGACCTGCACCTGTCATGCACAGTAATCAAGTTGGGCAGCAGAGTTGTACCTGGAGCATTCAACATGGTCACTTGCTTCCTCACTCGTTCTGCCCAACAGCAAGTGTGTCCAGCTGCTTCCTCCCCACTCTCCAGTGTAAATGAGGAGTGGCCATGCTGATGCATAGAATGGTGCCCTGGGAGAAGAGAACTCTGTGGATCAGTCCACAGTAATACACTTACATGAATAGGAGCAGGAACAATTATACCTTCCTTTTGGAAACTGATAGAAAAGTGAGTAGTTTAAGTCAAAGTCTCAAGAAATGAGATAATTTAGGTTGCCATTTTTAACCATATAAACAGCACACCAACATCAGTTACTATTTAGCTAGTGGGCGCATCTGAGTGCCTCATATCTACCTTTTTTTTTTACAAGTCAGCTCATTTTGGGAGGTGTTTTGGAGACTCACTGTTAGTTTGTCTCTGATAAAAAGAAATTGGAAATACAAAGTAGGCAAATTATGTGAAAATTAGATAACAAATAAGCATAGGAATTATACAAAGATTTGATTGGTCTATTCTTGCCACTAATACAAAGCAAACAAAGAAGGAATCAATTTACAGTTTCACTTAATTAAGAAACTCTTTAACTTTAAAAAATTATCAGCAATGTCTAGAGAAAATGAGCCACGTTTTTGTGTGGAAAATACAGGAAATGCTTCCACATAAACAGAAAACCAGCATAGAAAGAGAGAGGTTCAGCCACATAAATACCTTCTAGCCTAAATATAATCACCATCATTTTAAAAACTTTCACTTCATGGAGTAAAACCTGGCCACTTTTAAAACTAACTTGGGACAGAGGATCAACATGATGGCAGTACACTGCGAGTAAGTCCTCCCATTAAAAAAAAAGTTACAGGGAGGAAAAGCAGCAGGTCCCTGCGAGAACCAGGACATGGAAGATAAACAGGCAACTCTGTCAAACTGACCGAAAAAGAAAGTTGTCATAAAAGAGGACAAGAAGAGAGGAAAGCTCAGAACCCTGCTACCCTCCCCACCTCCACAAAGCCTGCACACTCTGACCAACAGAAAGGAGAAAAAACAACAAGAACAAACTACAGATCAAGCAGGACAGTGAATGGATAGGAAATACTTCAGGCACCCCACCCCATGAACAGAAACTGTGGAGAACTGTGCAGGAATCCCCATGGAAGTGAGCAAATGGCTCCAGGTACCACTGGAGGAAGATTAAGGACTTGGGAGACACCTGCAAATAGCCTAAGGCCAGCCGGTAAGCTTGTGCAGAAAAGCATATGGGGATCTCCACTGAGTAATCAAAAACCAGGTGCCTGGGCATGGAAGTGGGGTGCAAAAGAAGCCATTTCTGCAGACACTGAACTGGGCCACCACCCGCATCCCAGATCTAAGGGCTTCGGAACTGAGAACTGGGGCACAAAATTTAGGGCCTGGGATCCCCACGATGGCGGGGCGCAGGGCAAACACAGCTCTCCCATGCCATTGAGGCAGTCCATGCCACCCCACTCTATTCCCTGGATACCCACAGGGGGAAAAAGCAGTTCCCGAAGGATACTAGCAAAGATCTCTGGCGCCACCTAATGACCAGAACAAAATCACCAACTTCCTGATAGTTGGAAGCCAGGGATCCCAAAACCACCCACAGGCCCTGAGGGAGCGTGGGCCACACAATTGGAGTAAGAAAGGAAACAAGGCATGGAGCAAGACCCCATTCTGGAACTGAGAGCCAGGTGCAGGATCCAGGGCATGGGATGTGCCATAACAATGGGCACTGCACAGGGTAATAGCCAGCGTTTTGGATCTGATAGCCCTGGGACTGAGACCTAGAGCACAGAATTCAGAGCGCAGGACCCATACCGCTGTGGGCACAGCACCAGGTGAACACAGGGTGGACACAGCACCCAGCTTGAACAAGAGCCCCTGTGTTGAGATGCTTCCCTCTCTGCCTCCATTTCTCAGAGAACCACTGGGAAAAAGCACAGGTTAGCAAGTACAGGTCTCTGGCACCACCTCGTGACCAGAACAGAATCACCAACTAGCTGATTCCCTGATGGAATTGAGTAAATACAGAGGGAGGGAACTGTAAGGGACAGTGCCCAGCAATATAGCATCAACACCATGGTGGACTTTTGGCCTACCAGTACTGGACTCGGTCTGGTAAACAGTTTCCAACACTACTGAAGGTGTAACCCAAAGAGATATCCACCAACACCAGTGGCACAACATCCCAACACATAGAACTAATTAGAAAGCAAAGAACAAGGAGAAGGAAAAATATAAATAACCAAGCAAGCCCACAAGAGGAGGACACACCACAAAAAGAAAAACAGTGACCAGTGCTCAACAATGACTTGGAAGAACTTCTTGGCCTGTCAAATAGAGAATTAATGATCATCAGGATTAAAAAGCAGAAAGAAAAGGAAAAAAATGATTTGAAACAAATAATCACTGAACCGAAGAACAAAATTGAGACCTCAAGAAAGGAAAAAGAAATGCAGATTAAAAGAATACTAGAGGAGATGAAGAACTCTGCAAAAAGCAATGAAAACAGAATCAACGAAATGGAAGAATGGATCAGTACTCTCGAAGAAATAAAAAGAGCCAAAAGAGGGCCTCCCTGGTGGTATAGTGGGTTGAGCGCAATGCTATGAAGCTGTCCTCAGCCTCTGCAGTGTGGGTCTGATTCCTGGCCGGGCAGGGAGATACCCTCATGGTACATCAGACTTCTCCTGTCTCGCCCGCTGCTCCCCTCAGCAGTATATTTCTGTCCATCTGCCTGTTCGGCTCCCTGCTCTGTCTGTGGTGAATCCTCTCACCCTCCCGGGCCTCTGACCTGTACCCCAGTTCTTGTATAAAAATAAAATCTTTTTTTTTTTTTTTTTAAAGAGCCTCCATACAGTTTTCCATAGTGGTTGGACCAGTTTGCACTCCCACCAGCAATGCAGGAGAGTTCCTTTTTCTCCACATCCTGGCCAACATTCATTGTTGCTAGTTTTTTTAATATGTGCCATTCTCATTGGTGTAAGGTGGTATCTCATTATAGTTTTGATTTGCATTTCCCTGATTACAAGCAATGTAGAACATTTTTTCATATGCCTGTTGGCCATTTGCATTTCCTCTTTGGAGAAGTTTCCTTTTAGCTCTTCTGCCCATAGAGCTTCCATATGATCCAGTAATTCTACTCCTAGGTATTTACCCAAAGGACACAGAAACATTAATTCAAAAGGGCCCCTGCACCCCCTTGTTTATAGCAGCACTATTTACAATAGCTAAGATTTGAAAACAACCCAAGTGCTCAAAAATAGATTACTGGATCAAGACAATGTGGTATTTATATACAATGGAATATTACTCAGCAATCAAAAAAGATAAAATCATGCAATTTGTAGCAACATGGGTGGAGCTGGAAGGGATCATGCTCAGCAAAATAAGCCAGAAAGAAAAAGAAAAATATCAGATGGTCTCACTCATAGCAGGAATCTAGAAAACCTAAATAAGGGACCAGGAAAAAGAATAACTATAATAAAGAAAAAAATCAAAATCAACAGCAACTATAAACCAGAGACACACTATGGGGGGGTGTGGGGGGAGGAGGGATTGGGGTCAAAATAAGGGGGGTGCAATTGTATGGGGAATATAAAAAAAAATCTTAAAAAAAATTTAAAGCAAGTTGAAAAAAAA